TTTGTGATTATTAGAATATCCAAAAACATTTTATATGAGTTCAGTGCTAAAAATCTTTGCTGTATAGGCTTGTTGTTCTATTTTATAGCTGTTATCTTGAAACTTTGTAAATAAAACTGGTAACTTTTTCAAAAGTAGAAAATAATACCAATAATTTGGAATGAAAATGAGGAAGGCATCCATTACTTCACCTTGGTCCAAATGCTTGACCCCAGTTCTAGAATCTTCTATTCTATACTTCTTCCCACCTACGGAGTTTAGACCAAGTTCCGCAAGTCCACTGTTTATTTCAGTATCCTCAAAGTCTGCATGATTCACAAAGGCATCTCCTACGAAGAATGGGTCTGTCACTAGTGGTGAACATGGTGGAGAAGGAGATGAAAGAGATGACCTTGGAGATAAAGATGTTGAGGATTTGGGTGTTCCAGACAAGGATCTCAAGATCTGCAAGCGGCTGGTAGAATCTGTTTTCTGCGTTTTTACTACTTCATTCTCATGGATAGTAGTGATGCATCCTGAAGGTCGAAAACCAGTGGTTCTCTCCAAAAGGAAGAGGTCCATTTTATTCTGATAGTCAGATTCTAGCTGTTCATACTGTTCATGTAACAGATCAGTAAAGCTGGCGGAAGTTGAAGAATCCTGGCTTGAGGTGACCAGAGATCCTCTACTGGATGCAAGTGAGCCATGACTACTGCCAGAAGATAAGGAAAGCATGCTAGAGGACAAACTGAAACAAAAATAATAATTAGAAATCAAAATTAAGATGGGTATATTGATTTAAGTATCTTATTTAGAAAAAGTGATTCAAATCATCTGTCATTTACAAAACTATAGTTAGCCTAAACTATCTCACAAAATTGTTTTATGGTAGAACTGCTCTTCATTCGAAGTATCTCTGAGAAATTTGAATTTAAATAAACAATGTTTTAGGCAGAATTAACTAATTTGTCTGTTTTCAATAAGATCTTCTATCTCCTTGCTGCATTTCTTCGTAATGCAATTTCCAAAAGTGAATTTTTGTAGGGTTACTATTTCAGCTTATTATCTTTATTTTATGAAACACCTGCTAGATACTGCAAAAGATATGTCACTGTATTATTATTATGGTCTAAGCATTCTTGACGCTTTTGCATTTCTACTCTATTTCGATGTGTCACCTCTTAATAAGACTAAGTTGCCATTTGTAATGCTAAGGGAAATCATTTTTTACATTTTTATGCTCAGAGGCCTCTTTTACTCACAAAATTCAAAAATTCAAAAGCTTGGGACACTTACTTTTTCAACTGCGTGTGCAACACTGCCAATAATCGTGTTGTTTCCTCTAGTTCTTGAGCCAGCTGATTTCTTTTACTGCTTAGCTTCAACCTGAAGAATATATTTATAAAGGCAAGATTATAATGCTGCTGCTTTGATGTCAACTGTGGTGTCACAGAAGTACGGTAGTACCCACATTGTCTGCAGTTTAATGACAAGTGGAAGAGAAAAAGATAAATAAAAACAAAGTAAATTCTCTAGTGCAAATTATTGCTCATATAACAGTGAGTTTGGAACTAGGAAAATTAGCCTTCTTCCTTGTGGGGAAGAGACTAATTGCACAGGAAACAAATAGAATCAAACTTTAACGAAGAATTAGAAAGCATGCAAAAATATTTTAAGTAGGTCTTTGCTAACAATTGATGTCAGAAAAAATAATAGTATATGGCTACTCAAATCACAAACATCTTACAATAATCTTCATTAATATAACATACTGTAATAAGAAGGATCCAAAGATTATGCAAATCAACTATTTAGAAGTAGTTCCTATATAAAGAGGAAATTTCATCAAACATACAAGACCTTGTATATAGAGACAACAATCACTAGAAATAATATATTGGAGTTAAACATATAGAAAAAAAATAAACCAAGCACAGTTCTTAGCTAACTTTTTCTTATTCTGCTAGAGAACAAACAACCCTTGGAACACATGTTATCTCTGTGCCAATCTGTCATCCAAATCCTTCTCGCAAATTCCAACTTTAATCAGAGCGTGGAGGATTATCTTAGCTGCCCACAACTTCTACCTTAACACATAGCTTATTGCTTGTCTCCCTCCTACCAGGGAACTGTATGCTGTTCCATAAACTTTTCCATTCAGAGAGGGGAAGGCTGCAGGAGAACTTTCCTTTGGCTAAATGTTAAAGTAAAAAAAAAAATAGAGGTGTCTCATAGAACATTTTCTAATTAACAAATCTGATTAAAAGACACAAACTTTCGTGAGACGCAGATCACTTTATCAAATTCATAGAGGGGCAAACTGATGTAGTATCTGAGCAAGTATATACAGATTTAGAGATGCCATTCCATGCTCTTCCTCTAATGTGCTATATGCCATGACATATGCTATCATCAGCCATAGATCCCTCTGGATTCTGCTAGGACAACAACAGATTTTGTGCAAAAGAATTAATGTGTATGTTTAACATTAGGACTGAAACAAGAACAAGATAATATCAAAGCATTTCAATCTCTCAGTTCCCTCTATTGCAGATCTCAACAAGACTTCAACAGCAGAATTGATAGAGAGAGAGAGAGAGAAAGATTGTGGAACCCACAGAACCCATCTAATTTATTTAAAAGAAGCCAGGTTATTTCAAAAGATCTTAGCTAACTTAATGTTTTTTAAACTCATTACAATTGTTTACTGATAAGATACTTCTAATCTGTCTCACATGTAACCTACTTCAGCATAATTGGCTAACAGGTTCATCTCTCTTTCCATCCTTTGCCCTCCACCCTTTCCCAATTTTTAATCCTAAAGCAGTTTTGATATTCTGGTTGTCTTTTAATAAAATTGGAAAAGATACAAGATTCTTTCAATTGTAAATTAACCCATATACTGCTATAAAATATTCAGCTGCATATATTAAGTATGCATTATACATCATAATACATTATTTTAATTAACACAGGCTTATCCTATGTCCTCCTGAATGTAATTACTATTGCCTAAAACCTTAGATTATCCATCTGTTTTTTAATACAAGTTATCAACTGCTGTCAACTTAGCTCCAAATATCAGAGGTAGCAGGACAGTGATTTAAATAAATGAATATTAAATCTGTCTCTTTATAATAAGTACCTGATAAAACATTTCTGTCAGTATCACGAATCTTTGTTATTTAAATGGAAAATTTTCAATAAAAATTTACTGGGTGAATCCACTTGAGCTAACTTGAAAAATAATTTCTCAGAATATTCTGATTTCTAAAAATTCCAAGTAAATCTTTAGACCTGAGAAATCTTCAGGACTCTTGTTAAACATTGCAGAATATTGGCACTAGAGAATGATTTGTATTTTTGTGCTTTTAAGCACTCATGTGAGTAAGCCTCATAAATAGCCAAGATACAACGAGACAATCTCTTCCACAATGAGGTAGATGGTTGCTTAAATTGCTTTTTTATTATAATCCCAACAAAGACATAAAGTAAAATGGGTGAGAAAATAGCTTTCTTCAACCATTCACTGTCACTTTGATAAGTAGCAAAACATAATTTAAAAACTAAATTAGGGACATTTAAATTTCTTTCTAGTCTACATAAAGCATTCCAGCAGTAGAATGTAGCAAAAAGAAGAAAGAATATTATTCTGAGATTTAGATTCTAAATATTTTCAGATGTCTGAAATTTCTACAGAGAACTGTTTTTAGCTCATTTGTGTGAGATGGATAATGATCTTTCACAAGAAAATGCCTGGCCTATAAAACCATGCATAACAATTGAATAAAAAGGACAACATGTGCAAATGGCTGTTAGTGAGTATAATCTGTTAAAATTATCATTAGAGACTCTAGCAATATCCACCTACACATAAAGTCTAAAAACAGCAATTACACTGAAAATGTTCAACTTAATACTATTGCATTGCCAGACTTTACTATAGCTGTAACAATAAGATATTACTACTACATCCAGTCAATCATAACAATTCCATTTAATAGCCCACAGAACTACTGAACAGAAGATTAAAAGCATTTTTATATTCTTGATGACACAGCTGTCAAATTGCAGTCATCCAAAACTTCAGTTTCTATGGGGATAACATTTAAAGAGTAATATCAATTTAAATTCAACCACCTTTTTAGTATCTCTGCACTTCTGAAGCACTGTATCTGCCTGGATTTATAGAAATCTACATAACAAATTTACTGAATTGTTTAGTAAGAAAAATCAAGTGTATTTATTAGTGTTTTTCAACTCGTAATTAATGGAAAGAAGAATATCATGAATTCGACTCTAGTACCGCTCAAGCATTAAGTAATTAATGCTTGTCTGGATAATTCTATGTTACAGATTAACTCCTATTTCATGTTTAATACTTTTCTCATTTCTCAGTTATATACAATTCCTTTTTTTAAGTCTAATTAGATTATTTCTTAAAATAATATTAGCTTACAAAGGCAGGCATCCAATGCACAGGTTCAACATACTGATTTTTTATTTTTTCCACATATTGCATATTTTTCATATCCAATTAGATTTTTACAATTGTTTCTTAAATCTAAAATTTCTAAATAATACAATAATACAATAGCAGAGTTGGAAGGGACCTTGGAAGTCTTCTATTCCACCCCCTGCCTAGGCAGGAAACCCTATACCATTTCAGACAAGTGGCTATCCAACATCTTCTTAAAGACTTCCAGTGTTGGGGCACTCACAACTTCTGGAGNGATATCCCTATTCATATTTTCAGATTTTCATACCTAGTGCTAATCAATCCTCTGTGTTCTTTCAAAAGAGGAAAATCGTTTGGATATAATAGGATTTCCTGGCATATGTGCCTAAGAAGTGGTTACAAGACAATTGGGCTCAGTGGTCTTTAATTTAAGCAAACATAATTAAAATTAGAGAGAACTGAAAGGAATTGAAGCATGCAGTCGTATTTTTGCCAAGCATCTACACTATGGATAAATGAATGATAATAAACTATGAGGGTACAGAAAAATTGTGCCTTGAGGTCTCATCATTAAGCCTCCAATATTATCTGTTAATATCACATTCAAACTATACCTCTAGCTTTTTTTTGTAATTTACTTGAAGTACACTAGTCCATTATAGAAAAATTATCCAGTACTAATAAGTATTCTAGCTTAAAGCACAGGAGAAGCTGTTCATCTTACTTCATTGAAACTTGAACTTTAGCTGTAATAAGGGCATCTGTATCATCATTCTCAAATGTCGTCCTTTCTGAGATACACGGCCTGAAAAAGATAACAGAGACATCTCAATATGAATTTTAAAATGCCATTAGAATTCAACAATAATCAAGGAATAAAATAAAATGTAAATACATAAAACATTCTTTCTTTATAGCCTAAAAATCTTGAAGGGAAAGAAATGGTTTTTCCTGGGATCAGAAATGTGTAGGTACCAGGTTAGTCTCCATGGAGAGGGCATATTGTTGATGGGCATCACTTCTGAAAAAGCCCTTTGTTGTGTAGCCATGTTCAATAGCATTATTTACACTATCTTGAGAAGAATCTTCAACAACAACCTATGGATCAGAAAGTGACCTATAGGAATTATTTGACTATTCTGAACCCAAATTATTTAAGGTTTAATGCATCATTTGGGAAAGTTTGAGCAACAAAGGAATTACTAGGATCACATGACTTTGCTGCTCAGGCTCCAATATTATACTAGCAGTTGTATTTTGGATAGTTTTTCAAAGTTGGTGCACTTTTAATACCTGGAAATAATTTCATGATGATTAAATCAAATATCTTAATCTAGACAGGGATGTAGTTATACCAAAACTGATAAAGGCTACTACAGCTAGTCATAGAGAACACACAAGAGACTGAGAGAAATACGTTAATTGAAGTCTTCATACCATAGTCTACTTAATAAACTTTTAAAATATTAATTTTAAATATTAATTATTTTTTAAAAAAATTATTTTTGCTCTCTTTTTCAACAACTAGAGGGCATTTATTTTCCCACCTACTGTAATCCAACATATCTTCCCCAAAATTTGGAGGGTAGAAAACCATTGAAGTGTGACATTTAATATTGATATCAAATATTTAATAATTGTAAGATTTCTTAATTAAGGACTTACTTCTCCAAGTAAATGGGAAAATCAAATGTGGGATTCTCAGTGAGAGAATCATGAGAAGCAGAAAGGGCACAGGCTTAAAATTCATTCCATACCCTTCCTAGGAGAATGCTAAATTGGTCAAGAAAAACTACTGAGCATAAGTAAAATTAAGGTTAGAAAGACTAAGACAGAAGATGCATTTCTGTGAGTCCTTGGCTGATAATGTCTCATCAGTCTTGGGGTATCTTTGATTAACCCAGTCTTTAGTCCTTCAGATAGCCTTCTTCCAGTTTATCCTACAGTACCAACAAATTCCTGAAGAAAATTGGCTGACTATTTTGCACAAGAAAATGTTATTAACTGAATTATAGTATTCAATTATGGGAAATTAAAAAGGAGTCTATAGGAAACATTCCAGTAATATCAGAAAAGGAAATGCAGACCAGGGTACTACACTATATACTGAAATTGTTGTGGCTTGAAAATACCCTTGACAATTTTTTTCGTAACAAATATGTAATTTGCAAGATTCAACTTTCCTGATTTGGTGAAGTTGATGTATGCAAATTAAATTTGTAATCACTTGGGTGAGAATTACCTTTGCACAGATGCTTCATAGACCCCACTATCTCCAGCAACTGACTCATCTGACACTGCAGCTGATACACATGCCACTTTCGGTACAGATCCTTCAATCATATTTACAGCTAGAAAAAGACAAAGGGGTAAATTCATGACAAAGTTGCACAATATTAAAAAAAAACCTGTGGGCAGACTCGTTGGATACCTATATCTGGATCAGATGACAGTCAACCCTATTTCAAAAAACAGTGGTTTCCAATATTTGGATCTAAGGTGGACATTGTTGATTGTTTCTTAAAAATAACATGATTAGTTTGCACAATAGTGGCACATACTCAAAGAAATATGCATTTGGGTTGAAAAGGGGTGAAAGTCCTTGAGGTCACCTTCTTAACATAATGCCTCCTTAATTTGAGCCAAATATACTGAGTTTATATAGCTACTACAGCATGCAAGGTCAGAAACTTGTCTGAATCTATAAGGAGATGCTGACATGTAGAGTGTGACTGGCCCTACTGATTCTGAAGCACTGCTTTTTCTCTAAATATTGTACATCTTGAGAGAAAAAGATGGCAACTTTGAAATTATGGATGATGATATGAGATCAGAAACACACATACTTTGGGCATGTGATTCGAGTGAATAATAGATTAGAAAAATTGACTCTGGTTGGCAAATTTGAGAGATGTAAAGGATAAAGGAATTGATAAAGTGGATGAATGGGATTAGAGAGATGATCGGACTATCCTTGGAGGACTTCTAGGTTGCTGGCTACAGGTTCAAATGGCAAGCAAGCAGTCATTTGAAATCAAGTCAGATTTGATTACTGTGAGCTAGTTTGGGGAAAAAATCTTGAAATATGCAAATATGAGCGGAAATGGCAAATAAGAGAGGAGGTTAATCTAATTGAAAGTCCCTAGTTATATTATTTCTTTTTAAAAGTTTTATTGCTTTTATTTTTTTAGATCAAGGATTTTGATTGCATAAGATCATGTGCTGAATTGTTTTACTTTTATTACAGTATTTTGATTTGTGCCCTATAATCTCACTACCCAACTATTTAAATGACACCAGAGAACAATATTTAAAGTTTAAAACAGTAAACATTCCTATAAACGATGTCTATGAAGAAAGGGAAGGAGGGGTAATTTGGAGGGGAGTGTGTGAGTTAATTAGCTGTATCTTACAAGAACATGTGAAGACACATGATCCCAGAAGGCTATGCTGTAACTCAATCAGGCAGCTTTTCCACTTCTCTGAGCTGTTTGTGCAAATCCCAGGGAGTGAATGTTTTTACTCATTACTGCCCTGAAATAAACTACCTATGGTGATTATTTTGTCTGCTGACTGGATAACAATCCTCAATCACTTAATCTGCTTAGTGCCTTGTAGCTTTCTCTTTAACTCCCTTAGCCATTTTCAAAGAACCAAGAAAGTTTAGGCTAATTGCCATCAAGACCTAATGGGAATAATAACCTTTTCACACTCCAAATGCAAATTGTGGTATTGCTGCCCACAAGGAAGAAGTAAGAACTTATCCCTCATGCTAAAGGCAAATTATTTTTTTAATCTTTTCCAGACCCCAGATTGGTAGTTTTGTGTCATAAACAGCATGTTTTAATCAAATAGAACAGAAGCTCAGAAATACTTCCTAAAATTTGAATAATGCTGCTCGGTAAATTCAAAATAAATTTTTAGGACATGTATATTCATGGGTGGGATTCTACCGCTTCATCCCGGTTCTTTCCAGCCCTCTCTAATATGTTAAAAATATTAACATTATTAAAATATTTAAAAAGTATTCAGTGGTCCATTCTTTTCAGAGAAGGAAAAGATTTTCTAAAGAATAAAATTTGTAAAAAAAATATAAGTGCCAGTCCCAAATTATTTAGATAGCTGACCTTTTTCACTTTTCCTCAAATCACAGGCTAAGTATGTTGACTTGCCTTTAGCATTATCAGAAGGAAAAGTCAATGGTTCCCCCTTAGTTGGAAGTCAGTGTCCCTGTCCCCTGGGAAAAACTGAATCTATTGTTCATATCCTTGTTCATTTCTCTTTCAATTCTTCTTGGTAAAGATGTAATCATTTCATTTTTTTTTGTCTCACTATTCCAGAAATTCAGAAGACAAAGCTGACAAGTTAACAATAATATCTAAGAGTGTTACAAAATGTCCAAATGTTATTATCATCTGGTATGGGACTATACAGTCATTAAATTGTGCATTATAGTGTGTCAATTTGCTATACCCAATTTTAAAGTAGTATTTTATAATGAATTAAACAGCATCACCACCAGATGGATTTGTAACTGGTTGAACAACCACACTCAACACACAGTTTTTAATGGAATAGCATCTACATGGAGGGAATTATTCAGTGGGGTACCCCAAGGTTCTTTCTTAGGGCCAGTACTCTTCAATACTTTCATCAATAATTTAGACAAGGGGATAAAAGAGGAACACAATAAATCTGTAAATGACACCAAGCTGGCAGGAATAGCCAACACTCCAGAAGATAGGCTCAAGGTACAGAAGGATCTTTACAGACTTGAACACTGGGTCATATCTAATNGGTCACTTGCCCACAGGGTTCCTGTGGCTTCAACACCTTCTATCCTTTCCTGTCTGATAGTGAGAATTAAGTCTAATATGGCTGATCCCCTTGTTCCTTTCTCTACTTTTTGGCAAACAAAGTTTTCTGCTAGGTTTGTTAGGAACCTGTGCAGAGTTTGTTTCCCAGTTGATGTCAAGGTAGTTAAAATCCCCCATTACTATTGTGGTGTGCTTCCTACATAACTTAGTTAGCTGACTAGCAAAAAAAAAATTTCTCATCTACATAAATTTTACTTGATTCTTGGTGATCCAAAATCTCACATACCTATGGTCCATATTTACTCAGTTTAAATTATTCAAAACTTAGCTATCATACATGAATGGCTATCATAAGCTTACCAGGGGTGGGTTCCGGCTTCTGTTACTACCAATTTGCTCAGGGTGCATGCACAGTAGTAAAAAAAATTGCTTCTGCACATGCGCAGCAGCAAAAAACAAGATGGTGCCACCTAGGGCGCTGCTGTATAACCGGTTCGGGAATGTGGTCAGCCGAGTTACTACCTACTCAGCCGAACTGGTCCGAACCCACCTCTGAAGCTTACTTTCAACAATCGTTTTTTGTCACATTTGGCGAGACAAAAATAATTAGTATTGCTATTTAGAAGTAAGATCAATTTTAAAATTGTATTTCAAATTCAATATGAAATACAATTTCTTTTCTTTTGGCATTTTCAAATGATCCACTGTTTAATATGTTCACCTCAAGCTATGGGTTAAGTCTTTCCATCTCATTCACAGAGTCATCTTGTCACAGGAATTTTCTTGAAGATGACTTTGCAGATGTCTTTGACCTGACTGAGGGCGGGATTAATAAACCACAATACCACAATAATAAATTTCCATTACAGGATTATAAGGAAACCCTAATCCCATTACAAAGTACTTCTAAATAGCTTTTGAGTTCTAACTTTTATTAAACTTGCATTGACAAAAGATATCTTATTCATTGAACCATATATAATTGATCTGGGAATACATTTTATGGACTTGTGAATAAAATGTGAAACAATAAACATTACCATATTTTCACTCCATAAATCCATTAATTTAAAATTAATTAATTATTTATTGGATTTATCTCTTTTGGGATAGTCTACAACAGGGGTGTCAAACTGGCAGCCCAATGGGCCATATGCATCACATGCAGGCCATGCCCATGTGATGCCCCTCTGGGAAGGGAAAAAACATTGCAAAAAATCACATGATGACCTGACACACCAAGTTTGACACCTGTGGTCTATAATGACCTTTGTGATAGTCTACATTTTGCTTTCTTTCAGTTTCCAACTCTTTTTCTCTTTCTTTTATGTAATGTTTCACTGCAATCACTGAAATCCACAGATTAAAAGCCCTATTTTATGAGACTCATCTCATAAAGCACCATCTGCTAATAGTAAACAAAGCATTCAAATGATTCCCATACCTTTCTGTTAAAGCTTTACTCTGTGTATCTCTTGCAGTCTGAAGATCTTCTTCTAAACGTTTTCTCTTCATCTCCAGTTTTTCTATATCAGTCTGAGTCCATTTTCTTGGGCTAATGAACCGCATTTCTTTGAGAAGTTCCTCCTTTTCATTTATTAACATTAATCTGTCTTGTTCAGAATCAAGCACACCAGGCCAGGCCTCACTGTCTAATTTAGCCAGCTGTATTTTTAAGTTTGCTATTCTGTGAAAGAGAAAAATATTATTATATCATTTTATATCACTAAAGTATATCAACAAGTAAAGAATACTCTTCAGGGTTAACTCTCTTTGTTCTTTGACAATAATACAAAATAAAACTGAGGATATAAAAACTACTCACTACTTTAAGCCTCTACAATGGGCCATTTTGTTCTGCAGACTACAATGTATTATTCTTACCACAATTGCAGACTGGATCTTTATTGACATACAGTGGCATGTCAAAGTTTTGGTTGGTGCTTTGCAGAAAATCTGTATTTTAAGGATGTCTCTAAACAAATGACCTTGTTCCTGTAGGATATATTTAATTAATTTAAATTTTGTAATTAATAGAAATCATCCACTGAAATCTTTTTTAAAGCCATTTTAACAGTTAACTGTCTCACTAAGCTCAACACTGGGCTCTAGTGAATAATTATTAAAGGCATTAATATATAATCTCTGAATTCCTCAGTACATTTGTAAAAAATATGTTCTAAAAGGATTTCTCAGCTGTAATTGGATAATTTCTGTCATTTACCAGCCTGTATATATCAGCTTAATATTCACAACTCTTTCAGGGTAAGCAGTATTATGAAAAGCACAGAAGAGGAGTATAAAATTATATGATAAATTAATCAAAGTATGAAGGAAAATACAGCTAAATCTTGTTACACTAACATTATTCACTATGCCTCTTCAGACCTTTTTATTTTTGCAACTGTCCTTTTTTCCATTACACCTATTTCATTCATTGCCTTTGACTCGTAAAAAGAGCACCCAAGCATGTAGTTCTGACTATACTTATGCTTTGGCATGAGAGGGAGTGGAAATGTAGTACCTGACTGCAATTTATGTAATCAAGTGCATCTCTTCCCAGAACTGCATGGCACCTAAGAAAGGGATTCATGCGATCTTAAGAAAAAACACAGCTGGTTTAAAAGGAGTTGCAGATAGGTACTAACCTGGACTCTAGGTGTACTGAAACACATTGTTGAAGTGTATGTGTATAGTTTATATTTTTGATATTTGAAAGCATGATATCATTTTGTTCCTATTTGGAACTGCTGACCACAGATTTTTCCCCATCAGACCCTTCATGTCTTCTAATTGTGCTCCAATGGACTGCACTCATTTACCTCATTACTGTTTGTTGTCTTTTTCAGTTTCTTTTTAGTTTTTCCAGAGACAACTGGGAAAATTAGGAAGAACTAAATTTTCCAGCAGTAACTCAAGAGAGATGTGTTTTTGCATAATGTCTTAAATCTACGATAATGTGACACTGATTAATATGATAATCAATGAAAAATTCACTGAGAAATGTGAATTGATATTTGTATCAAGGACACAAGGATCCTTCCTTCCTTCCTTCCTTCCTTCCTTCCTTCCTTCCTTCCTTTCTTCCTTCCTTCTATGGTATTCTTCCTGTGGAAATTGGGGCGGACATATGCAGGATCTCAGGAAGAGAGAAAATTCCTCTAAAGACTTGAAGACAGATGCTAAATTTACATTCCTGAATCTGGAATGTAAGTATCTGAAACACATTTTTTAGATTATTTCTGATGACTTACACCACCTTATAACTAAAGAATCATGCTATACTTGCTGCAAAAGGATCTTTTCATATAAACAAAACTATGAAGATGTAATTTATTTTTGTGTAGGATTGAAACAAGTGCTCTTCAATTATAATCAATCTACCTACCTACCTATCATCTATCATCAGCTTTGGTGGTAGAATATATATATATATATTCTAACCAATAAATGTTACATTTTATATTAGAATATTAGAATAGATGCCCAGAGTTACCTTGCGATAAGATGGGTGGCCAATTTTTTAATAAATAAAATTAATACATTAATAAATGTTGTCAGTTGGAGGAAGCACAAAGTGAGTTGGCTACTGCAACAATAGAAATTATTGTAAGCCAAAGATTTCCTAACACCAATTCTGTAATTATTCACTTTATTTTTTTTTCTAGAAATGATAAATATTGTTGATGAAATTACAGGAAAAAATTATGCACATTTATTTAAAACTTTTAAAAAATGGTAAATTTTGGTAAGAGCATCTGAGAAATATTGGTATAATACTTTCAAAGTTTGAACCTTATTCTCAGAAAAAGATCTAAAAACTAAAAAGATCCTGTTACCAGATTTTATACATCTTTTTTTTTGGGGGGGGGGAGAGTACTATAGGAACTTTAGAAATTTGTTTTATAAAATATATTTCCTTAAAAAGAGAGAGAGAGAAAAATGAGTTAGAAGTACAAAAAGACAAAGGTAAAAGAATTTCTTAGCATGCCTATTAATCCTTATAAGACAGATGTTCTGCTACTATAAATACACGTTGTCAACTTAGGTTGCTTGATTATTATTATTTTTAAATTAAGAGAGTAGCAATATTTTCTTGTTGTCAAAATCAGTGGAACTATGCCTCAGTGTTAAAGAAAAGTCTACCATTATTTCACAATTATTACAATATAAAAGCACTTTGTCTATAATTAACTGCAACTGATAAAAATATATAAAAAGCATATAATTTCATAACAGCATTTTAAACATAGATGTAGGTAAATAAATAAATGATCTATTTTTAAAAAATGACCACTTTGTTGAAGAGATTTTGCTAGGAATAGATTCTTTTATGGTAGATACCAGCTGCTTTCTGAATTGCCAAGAGCAATAAAGAAAAACCTAATTACCTTCGCTTAGCATCTTCATATTGGAGGCGCACTCTTACTTTCTCAGCCAAGTGATTATTGCAGCTCACAAAAAACTGACAGGAGAAAATGTTAATCATTAAGAGGTCAGAGCCAACATTCACAAGAATTCAAAGACACATTTCTTTCATTAACTTTGTTTTCAAGAAACATAGAAATATTATGTAAAACAAATTTATATAGATACAAATGCTACAAAATCTATTCCAAACATCTGTACATTGGATCTATGAAAAGTCATCAGGCTATTAAAGAACGTGCTTAAAGATGCGATACATACATTTCCAGAAACATCTGTTTGGGAACCAGCATCCAGGTACGTCCTAGGTAAAGAGCAATGGGAACTTCCCAAGGAAGTGCTATTGGTCCACAAGTCTGAATGGGATCTTTTATTTGCCACAAAATTAGCTTTTAGTCTGGCAAGACTCTGAAATGAGAAGAAATAATATCTACCATCTTATTGCCTTCTCACTGCAATATTGTTTTGAAGTAGACACTTAAAAGAAAAGTAACGAAGGAATAAACATTTAAAAATTAGTGATTTGCATAAATTTGAAAGGACATTTAAAATCAAATTTATTTATTTTTATTAAAAGGGTTTCTATTATCAAAGCAGAAGTTAGGCTACAGATGGGCAGTTATTTCACCTATTTTACTTTACAGAAAATTACCAACAGTGAGAATGGCTGATTTTTAACCAGCATTTCTATATAAAGTTAATTTTATATGTAGGTTAGAAATAAACATTTCTGTACTTGCAGAAACTTAGAATTATTATGATAGTTTTTAATGTATGCTAGGCACATTATTTCATTAACCTGATTTCATACCTCAATAAGATCTCGCTTTTCTTGCTCTCCTGAAGTGATAGCCTTCTTGATGTCTTTTGTTTCACTTAAAATGGCTTGTGCTTCATCAAGTTTATATCCACCTTGGGTATCAGACATTTTCATATCAATTCTTTAGATAAAAGGAAAGAGAAACAATTACTCACTGTAAGAAAGTTAAGGAAAGGAATACATCTATTAAAGTGGGATTGAAAATGGAATTTTGAGCCGTTGATTTTCCATCTACTGGAGAGCTTAAAGCAATATTTAGTGTATATTGCTTAAATTCCTATGTGCTAATTTCCTCTGTTGCAAACTGATATATTGAAAAAAATGACTGAACAAGTATAGAAATGATGTTTTCGGGGAGGTGGAGAGATTAAATTGCATTAATATGGAACTAAAATGTATCTTGTTTTGATACATTTTCACTATTCATTTGCAAGATAGTCCAGTACATGTTCATAGAGATATTCTGTATGTGAGAAAGCCAGTGAGCATACGGAATTTGGACTTTAATGCCTTACTATGAAGGAAAGAGAAGCTATGTCCTTATTTTCTTGCAGCATTGTCATTTCCTAGGTGGTTCGAGTCTAAACTTTACAGAACCATTAGGCTGACTCTTGGTATGGCCAATTTGGGCTTCTAAGAAACAGATGTCAAAAATGGGAAGATAGTACCAAAATACAGGTCAGGGGGTATTTGTGCAGTTGTAAAAATACTGAAAAATATAGCTCCCATGAGCAATTTGTCATTAGTTTGCATTATGCATGTAGTTCTGGGGTTTTCGTTTTGCAAATTTCTAGGCAGCACTGTTATATCATTACATCTGTCAATAACATAAATATTTTGAAAATGTGTGAGATCACTTAAGTCTCAAAGGTTTTATTGCAGATTGTAATGATCCTGGATGTATATTTATAAACTTTTATTTGGTTTCATTTGATACTGATTCCAAATCAATACAGTTTATTAACTGATGGATAAGCATAATAAACATGGAAAGAATAACTTGAAACAATTGTTTAATGTTTAATACTAGATACTGCTCTGATTTTTTTCTCCTATACCTTAGAAAGAGAACTAAAATATTTACATTAGATAGGCAGGAATCAAGTTTATCTTGTCATACTCCTAATTGTTTCTAGAGTAATATAACAATATAACAAAAACACAAAGTCATAAAAATAGTATGTCTAAAATAACATGGTCCATTATTATCATCTAATAGTAAAATGCCAAATATGACAAATACACCAAATCTAGTCTCCCCAATATTTTATGAATAGAAACTAAAGTTTTCATATATATGGAGCTTCTCAATCATCTAGTTCATGTTGCCCTGAAGGTGCTTTTCCCTGAAAAGCTATTAAAATTGAGCAGCTCTCTCTCAACAGAAGGGGAGGGATATAACACCACTGATCTCCTATATATAACACCATCCTTTCAGCAGTCTCAAGAAGGTTCCACAGCTATTTGCAGTCTAATTCAGGTGACTGAGGATACAGATAAACCCCCAAGTGGCATCAATCACTCTCAGAATGTTAACAACTGGATGAATATAAATCTTTCCATTTCCCACAATTCAGGCAGAATTGAAGAAGTTTCTTGGATGAGAAGTGAAACATTTGCAAGGATAAAACAAGAGAAAATCCAGTTCCCTGTTGAAAAAGCTCCTTTGGGGTAAAGCCATTGTAAAAAACTGCAGATGAACGTCAAGCTTTAATAGGACACCAATGTATTAGATGTAATCCTATGAAAGGAAGATATTCCTTTAAATCTAGCTTAACTCTTGGTCATTGTATGGTTATGGCTGTGCAATGTTTTCTTGGCAACCATAGGGAACTGTTTTTACCATTTTTTAACTTGGATCCCCCCCCCCAAACTTTTGAATTGGCTGGACATTTCTTGATAATCTCTTAATCAAGTAGAAATCAGACTCAACCTTACTTACTTATCTTAAGTGCATCCAAGATTGGTAGAGATTATCATCCGTGTGACTTTTAACTATATAAAAACAAACTTAAAATTTAATGAATTCTGGGGCAATTTGTCTTTATTCTCCCCTATGTGTATTATCTCTACTCCTGTAGTGCAGCCCATCATATAAACATGCAAAGCCTGCATACTTCTCTAAGACCTGTTCCTCAAACTTTTCACCATTTTTTGTGTTCAGAGGCTGTTCTCTTTGCATAATACTCACAATTTCTTTAATTTCAATTCTCAAGTCAATAATGACAAGAATCTACATTTTTCAACTAGTCGGATAGTTGGAGGGAGGGAGGGAGAGAGAGAGAGAGAGAGAGAGAGAGAGAGAGAGAGAGAGAGAGAGAGAGAGAGAGAACGCAGAAGATGCTATTAACTTACTTCTTCAATGTTTGAAAACCATGTTCCTTATACTGGAGTTCCTGTCCCATATGAGCAACTTCTCTTTTGAGTTTATTAACCTATAGATAAGTGAAACAAAATGCTTTATTTTAGCCAGTGTATACTATGTTCTTAAAAACAACAACCAAGAATCAAAGAAAATAGGGTGCCCATATAGTGCTCTGCTAAAGCTATCTACTTAGTATTAGAGTTTAACTTATTTCAATTCATTGATAACCATGCATTCACACTTTCAGTTTAAAAACATAGTTAGGCCACCCAACTTCCCCCATACTAAGCACCAGGACTCCCTCCTGCAATTTTAGCTACTAGTATATATTGTAACTTAAGAATGAAGACAGAGGCTCTGGTTCGGTAACGCTGTAACCAATTTAATATAACAGTAACTATTAACAAATTATCTAAGGAAGACCGGCTGTGAGCACGGTAGAAACAATTGTAACAAAGATTAGACCGGTAGTCTGTGGAGAAGAAGCAGCGAAGCAGTTCCAGGTAGACTGGTATGTTCGGCTGCCAGTTGAAGAATCAGTTGACAGTTGGAAGAGCCTGCCTTTTATATACCAGCAGCTTGGCAACTGACAGGCGCGTCTGATTGGCTAAGACGCGCCTGGCTGCTACCGAGCTGTCATTCGTAACTGCGAGGACTTTCTTTCAGTATACAACAGTATATTTCTTTTTCTTTCCTAGCTGTTTGTATCATCATCTAATAATGTAATTTAATGACCTCATCTTCGCTGCTAACCAACACAGTTATTAAGAGAGATATCACATGGCCTGAATTTTACTGGCTTCTTCCTCAACTCTGCTTTTGGAAGCCGATTGTGAATGTAGCCGATAGTGATACATAATCGATCTTTGATCCTGATTATTTGTACGAACTGCTGATAGATCCGAAGTCAGAATTGTGTAAAACATTCAAATGTTTATCATGTGATTACAGGGATGTTGCAACAGTCCAAAGTACAAGGACCATAAAGTTACTTTTTCCATGTGGTCATAATTTGAATGGTCACTAAACAGGACACTCATTAATCAAGGACTAACTGTAATTATTAGTTGTTCACCTACGTAGATAAAATAGATTTCAGGTTCTTTAAATAAAGTAAAACATTCATGTAGATTATTAAATGATTATACACTTTTTAATACACTTTTTGGCATTGCTTTTATTCTATCTATTGGTCAGATCCACTTTCAAGTATTGCTTATGCAGAAAAACCAGGTGCCCTATCTTGACATCTCCAGTTGAGAAGATGTGTTGTGGTAGACTGTGATATCTACTCATTTTCACTTTAATAAATATATTCACACACAGATGACATTCGAAATTCAAGAGACGAGAACTGCATCAAAGGTCTGCTTTGTCAAAGCAATTATAGAGAAGTACTCCTTGGATGCTTTGCACAGGCCTGTATGAAACTTTGATTTTAGTCAAGTTCCTTATCACCGATCTTTGATCCTGATTATTTGTACGAACTGCTGACAGATCCGAAGTCAGAATTCCAGACAGATATAACAAAAGGTACTTATTTTAATTCAAGCCAGGATTTCCATATACATTACTATGGAATGTATTGAAGAAGTTGAGGTTTCTGTGTTTTTCAATATATGAATCCAACAGATTCAATGACTACAGCATTTAACACCAACATGTGAATGCTACATAAATAATAGATTCAAAATAAAGTGAATCCTTATGACACTTCACTTAGAAGGAAACAGCCAACAATAGTTTGAATAAATATTTTGCAATGTAAAACATTTCTTTGAGGATATTAGTAAAAGGCACTCTTAACTTGCTTTCTTTTAATATGGGGAACCAGTATCCCTGATATTGCTTAACCATATATTCCAGCATGGGTGAAATATGCTGGGATTTGTAAATCATCAACATTATAAAGCTCTGGTTCCTTAGTTATGTACAAATCTGCAAATGGAGTAATTATTTTATACAGCAACTGAATATGTGGTTGTTTTTTTTCTAGAAGCATTTTAATAACTTAAAAATAAATTAAAAATCATTTTATCTTACCCTAGATTTTGTGGTAGCAATTTCAGCTTTAAGAATTTCTGGATCATATTTTGAGCTAGAGGATGAACTGGAGGCTACTACAGTAAGAGGGGAAAATGAAAAAAAAAACAGCAAAAAGTTAAGGAAATGGGAACAAATGCAAAACATGTATTTTTTCAATGTAAAAGAAATTAAACTGCCAGAAACTACATTTTTAGTCAGATTTCGTAAGCATTTCGAAATAGAAAAGATGGGAAGGAGCTTTATATAAATTAAGCTATTTCATTTATTTTCCCCCTTTAAAAAAATTCTGAAGTTCCAGAGCTGTTTAAAAAAAAAACATACAGAGGTATTACATTTATTCGACCAGGTAATTAAAATAAAATCTAGAGTAGCTTAAACCTTCCATTTTACAAGCTATTTTCAATAGAATAGTAGAATTGAATAGTAAAAAGAAAAACATCTGCATAATACAGCCAAAAAAGGAAGGGAATACAGTGGAAGATGTGATGATATAAAATACAGTTACAGTTAGTCCTTGTATAGTGACCACAATTGGAAATGGAAACATGGTTGTTAGCTAAGTGGTTACTAAATAAAAATGCTTATTACCCTTATTATCTCAGTTCAGATTTCCTTTGCTTTTCAGATTTACAAAGGTCATAAATGTGGGTTGCAAAGTTACTTTTTTATCACCATTATAATTGTGATCGGTGACTGTATGAGGCAGTTGCTAAGTGAGGACTACCTGTACATGAAAAGTGGAAGTGAAAAGATTCATGGAATGAAACCTGCATATGGAATGCAGTCTGCAAAGATATAAATTAACTGTTGGGGAAGAAATGCTCTTAGATTGCATGAAAGATTTTTCCGAGATGTGTTAGAAGGGAGAAACAAAAAAAACAACAATTGTTTTCCCCTATTTCTGAAAACATAAAATCTAATTATTAAAGCCAAAACCTGCTCCCAGAGGAAAAATAAATTGCACATTCTTATATTAATAAATTATAATTTAAGACACGTACAGCTGGTCTGAGACCCCAATTTGTGTTCCCAGACATCATGAAGTTGCTTGTATTCCTGCTGGGCCAATTCAAGCCTCTGTTGCTTGACTTGGTAAACCTCCTTCTGCGCAGTTAAGGCTTCTTGGGCCAATATAAGGTAGTCCTTCAGCATGTGTTCTTGTTCCTGTCGCCACTGCACCCGAGGATCCTCTATCTGGGTGGTTTCTTTAAATAAGAATACAAACAAGCTAGAGATAAATGTAACACAAACTACTATTTGGCCTATAATAGGTTTTTATGATTTTATGATTTTTATTTGATACGTATGGCATAAGGTCTGCTAAAGATGAAGTTTTGCTATGTGTTCAATGGACAAGCCGGTTTGTCTCTTATTTATTCCAGTTCAAGAGAATCCAACCTAGTAGTTAAAATGATATCCTTTATTTATATTGCTTAATGCAAGCATCCATGCAGAAAATGATAATAATTTTGGAGGAATGAGCCAGCTTCCTATTAAACAGTGATCTGTATTTTATGTTAACTATGAATAATAAAGTTATACATGGATGTCATGTCAGAAAAGACAGCAAGGCTAATCCAGTTCCTTCACATCCCTGTGGGAATGAATAATGACAGTATAAAAGAGCACAAATACTTCTGCAGAAGCAGCATCTCTTAACTGACAGTCAGGCTGATGGATCAGTACCCATAAATCAGCCGTTGATCAGGATTCAGGTGACAAGGAAAGCCACGGCTGTAAGCCAACAACACATAACATTTTCAGACCTTCAAAAGTTAAAGCATTATATGACCACTGATCTGGATGACATATACAACACACTATAGTAAGAGTGTTTTTTTAAAAAAAAGGTTGTGTGATTACGGTCAGACAATTGGTTCACCTATTATAGCAAAGTTTGTTGGATAAACTATACACATGCATTTTTATACAGCTCTATGCCGTAAATCAGTTTAAAATTTTCAAATGACAGTATTAAAGTAATATGCTAATTGAAACCAAACAAACCACATTATATCTCTGATCAAGAGAGTACTTATTCTGTACTTATTTCCTTAAAATAGTGAAATACAGCAGCTTAATATTGAAACTGAATAAGAGTGCTTATCATCTGTTTCTTTTTTTCTTAAAAAAATAAGACTTGTTTACTTACTCTGATCATATTGGTCTATCTTCCAAGAAATGGAAGAAGCTGAAACATTAATGACAATAGCAATAGCAATAACAATAGCAGTTAGACTTATATACTGCTTCATAGGGCTTTCAGCTCTCTCTAAGTGGTTTACAGAGTCAGCATATTGCCCCCAACAATCCGGGTCCTCATTTTACCCACCTCGGAAGGATGGAAGGATGAGTCAACCTTCAGCCGGTGAGATCTGAACAGCTGAACTGCAGCACTGCAGTCAGCTGAAGTAGCCTGCAGTACTGCACTCTAACCACTGCGCCACCTCAGCTCTAGGCTACATGGCATCATCATTATCATCATCATTATCATCACCATTATCATATTTTTTCCCTTTTTAATTTTTTTTATTTATAAACATGTAAAACACACACCAGTGGTGGGTTTCAAATTTTTTAGAACCTATTCTGTGGGTGTGGCCTATTTTGTGGGCATGGCTTGGCAGTCATGTGACCGGGCATATATGGCCAACTTGACATCACTCATGCACACTCAGTCAAATGACCACCACCCCCAAGCCATGTGGCAAAAAAATTTGGAACTCCTATGGAAGGGGGTGGGGAAACATCCCAAAAATAGACAACTGGAGGATTAAGGGCCGAAATCAGGGAGATCGGAGAAGGCAGGACAGAGAGGAATCCAGTAGAAAGCTATCACACGCTGGGGAAAGAACTTTGAGAGATCGGTGGAGGCAAGACAGAGGGGAATCCAGTAGGAAGCTATCACACGCTGGGGAAAGAACTTTGGGAGATCAGAGGAGGCAAGACAGAGGGGAATCCAGTAGGAAGCTATCACACGCTGGAGAAAGAACTTTGGGAGATCAGAGGAGGCACGACAGAGGGGCATCCAGGACAAAGCTATCACATACTGGGGAAAGAACTTTGAGAGATCTGTGGAGGCAAGACAGAGGGGAATCCAGTAGAAAGCTATCACACGCTGCGTAAAGAACTTTGGGAGATCGGTGGAGGCAAGACAGAGGGGAATCCAGTAGAAAGCTATCACACGCTGGGGAAAAAACTTTGGGAGATTGGTGGAGGCAAGACAGAGGGGAGTCCAAGAAAAAGCACTTGCCGCTGAACCTCTCCAATGGTGAGCATGGAGTGACAGGGCAGAGCGTGGAGCGACGGGGCAGGCATTCTGGAAGTTACTTCCGGGTCCATTTCACCATCCTGTTCTTGCGAACCGGTGCGAACCGGCAGAAACCCACCACTGACACACACACACATACACACACACACAAAAAAAACTTAGACGTACACAACATTTACACAATACAATAAAAACGGAGCTTCCTGTTCTTTCTAATAGCAATTGCCAATCAATCATTATCATCTTTTACATGCCAAAAAGACGGCACAGATTGAAAAATCCAAATCTCTTAATTTATCAGAATTAAGAAAATTGCCAAATAAGGCATCGCATAGAACAGGGGTCCCCAACTTCAGGGCAATGGACAGTCTGTGGCTTAGGAAACAGGCTGCACAGCTGGAGTAGGGCAGTGAGCAAGTTTGTGGAAAAAATGCTCCCAGTTTGTGGAAAAAATTGTCTTCCATGAAATCGGTCCCTTGTGCCAAAATGTTTGGGGACTTCTGCCATAGAATAAAAATTGGAACATCTAAAATAGGAATTGAGAAGACTCTTAGATAACCTTTATGCAGAGAAAGTTTAGATGCCCAGCCCTTCACCATAAAATGTGTTGCATTCCACAAGTTATGCATGTACTATGTGTACTTGTGGCTAAACTGAGAGTGTGAGATACAAAAATGCATTACCCCAAATTGGGTTCATTTTATCCAGTTTATATATTGATATGTTTAACTGGGAGTGTACACAGTTTTAAATTATTGAATCTTTTATTTAACATGAATAGTTAAGAATAAGCGAAAAATGAAGTTGTGACAACTACAAAAAGAAGTTGGATTAGCTCCTGAATCTCTAATACTTCTCATTTGAGATAGACAGAAATTCCAGTAGTTTTATTAGGAAAAGTATGTATGTGATGCATATAACAAATTATTGAAATGGTTTTCTGTTCTGTTTAGTGAGCAAGCGGGGTGAATTAAATTGTGTACTTCTAAAAAGTCTATGGGAGAAAATTTGTCTGAAAAATTAGAAACATACGTATATTTCTGCTCTTTCGTTGGCTTTAAATGCTCTAGGGCTAGGCTAATTATATGTGGGATGCCTAGCTACCACATAATAAATCATTAATATGATTGGGCTCTAGGATAACAAAGAAATCTAATCTGCATAATTTAGGAGTTCCTTAATATTTAACAGAAAACTCTTGCACAAAAAAACCATTAAAGGACTCAAGCAAACAAGAGGATCTTCTTTCGGACTAAATGGTCTGTGATGAAGAAAGGCATCTACCAAAGCATTTACTTTTTCAAATGCTTGGAGGTTGCTGGTATGGTGACCATAAGGAAGACGAGACTATGTCAAGCTCTGTAAATGATGCGAAGATTCAGCATTCTATAATGTATTGCCTTTCCCATCATTTCGACATGAAGCTTGAGCTTTTACTTATGGTTAATTCTAATTCACTTCCTTTCGAATTTTATTATTTTATTAAAGTTAAAGTATTTTATTAAAATAAATAAAATAAATAACGCTCAATTATTGGTTAAAAATTACTGAATGCTTCTCTGTGAATTCTGGAAGTGTAGCATCAACATCTCTAAATGGTGCCAGTTTGCTAAAGGCTGAATTAGCTCTTTTTGGGTAAATCATGTTTTAGCCTTCCAGAACTGGGATTACCAGACTGAAAAGCTATGAATCATAAAGAGATACAGAAAACTATTTTCTTCCATCTAGTGGTAATTCCAGAGCCTCAATCAGTTGTGGTAGTTCTTAATCCTGATAAAATAAAATGAACTGACCATCAGTATTTTTTGGAGGAGGGGGGAAGAGAGTATTTTGCTTCCATATTTTCATACTGCTAAATTTGCATAACTTTGAAATGTTATGCAGTGACAGATTAATAGACAATATTATGTTTTTTCCAAGTAAGACTATTTTCAAAGAATACATATTCTACCACATTGAAATTGGTTAAATGTTTATACATAACTAGTGTCAGTGTTAGTTAGTCCAGGATGGTATGCTCTTACTAGATTATCATTAAATCTAAGATCACAGTACTTGTTTAGTTTATAGGTCCTTATAGTTATGGCTGTCACAGTTTCTCTACAGTCACATAATCACAATTTGGGTGCTTGGTAACGAGCTTGCAATGACACTATCATAGCTTCCCATTCTCATGTGACTGCCATTTGTGACTTTCCTGCCTGCTTACGACAAACAAAGTCAGTGGGGATGCTAGTAGGAAGTCTCAAAATCCGATCATGTTATCACAGGATGCTGCAACTGCACAAAATTCATCTAATAATGGCAACTGGAACTTCTGGAATTGCCTTCATAAGTCAATACAGTCACATAGTTTTATGCCTTATGACCACATTGTATAGTGACAGAGTTCCCAAAGCTAATTATCATCAGTAAGTGAGGACTACCTGTACTGCACAAGCATTCATTTTTGCTACGTTAGATTCTCCCCCCCCCCAAAGCCATATACACCTATCTGAAACAGGATAATTACAAGATGTTAAAAATATTTTTTTTTTGGCAATAATCAGGACTTTACTTTTTTATTTTATGTTTCTTTTCACCCTTGTTTTAAACATTCTAACATAAAAACAAATGGGGCTATTTCCATGTTTGCAAGGCAGATATATACACTTACTCAGCTACACTGACCAAATCTAGTATCTATACTTTTAAATTTTTCTTTTTTTCCCCCAATTTTTTTTATTTTTTAAATAAAAACAAATAAAATCATCCTCCATTACAAAGTTGTAGAAAGTGCGTCAATTGGTTACACAGAGTTTTCTTGCATCCCTTCCACCGTCATCACCTCTAATTCATATCAAATTTTCTACTTTACATCACATATATTTATATATAATTGCTATCATCATACCTCATCCTTCATATGACTATAGTTGTTTTAACGTCCCTTTATAACAAACATTCCAAAATTTAAAACAAAACCACATAGTGGCATTTCCTTATCTATTTTCAATATCATCCAATCACATTATTCCCTTATAACACATTCANTATTTCATTTTTCTGGGAGAGGGCTGGATGATAACTTCCCACACTCCTTCCTGCCACGCAATGCTCTAGGCTCTGCTGACCCAAAGATTGTCCCTGTGGAGCTGGGGCAAAGAGGCTCAGCTGTAGAGCCTCTGAAGTCACATGTGGCCCTGTAGAATATAAATTTAACATATGCATTAAAAAAAATTGCAGCTCTCAGATGCCCAACAACTAGCCTTGATTTATACTTAGCATCACTACGACCTCTTCAGCAAAGGAGGGGGGGAGACCAACCAGCTGCAGGGTCACATGTGACTTCACCTAGCATTTGTGGATTTGATTAGGCTGGCCATCTGCACTAGAGATGTTTTGATCCGTTGCTGATTTAAAAAAAAAACATGGAAGGATGCTGTGAGCCTTCTCCCAGAAATCACATTTTGATTTTTACCTCCCTAGAGAGTCTGACTGTGGATTATGGGAATTGCAACTGAAGTCCCTGCGAGACTCCGGGCACACTGTCTCCGAAGAGTCCCTGGAGGCTGCCTGTGAGCATTCGCCTCTCCCATCCCACCCATGTGAGCTGGCACGATGTTCTGACTGAAGAAACCAAATCAAGGAGAATTGCTGCCGAGTCACATTTCTCTGACAACGGGGAGAGGAAGGTCAGCCAAGGTGAAAGCTGGCTGCTTCTGCATGCCCTCCCTTTGAATGCCTGAGAAGCCTGCCATGGAAGAGCACATCTGCAGAAAGGTTCATCTCTTCCTTTGCAAACTGCAGATTTTCCCACTCTCAGCCAAAAAGGAGAGGGAGAGACTCCGGGGCTGGAAAGGCACATTGTCTTTAACTTATAGCAGTTCATTTAGTGACAACAGCACTGGGAAAAGTGACTTATGACTGGTTTTCACAAATGCACTTATGACAGTTGCGGGATCTCAGGGTCATATCATCCCCTTTTGCGATCTTTCTGTTGAAAGAAATGTCTTTCTGGGTTCGGCTCCAAGTGGGGAAAAAGACACTGGAGACACGGAGGCTGCTTGGAAAGATGGTTTTAATGGTGGAGAGGACCACATGCCTTGAAGATCTTGTG